GGGAGAGGCGCTAGCAGCATCGCTGCAATCTCGGGGGCAACGCCCATTGCCGGCTGCTGAGGTACTTCAGCCGCCCTTAAAGGATGCTGACTTGTGTTTTATCCCAAAGCCTAACAAGCCGGCCACGAAGCCTGGCAATCTACGTCCCCTCGGCATCATTCGACCAGACGGCAAGGGCCTGGCGGGGGCTTGTAGAGATCAGCTGTCTCCCTACACGGCTGACTATCTTCGGGGTCTCCCACAATTTGCCTACCAGCCACATCGCGGTCTTTCAGATGCCTTGAGCAGGGTCGTTGGTCATGTCACTCAGGTACGCAATAACTGCCAGGAGGCCCGACGAACCAGGCATCAGCTTCACTCGGGACGAACTCGCCCCCAGCTAGTAGGTGGCATCTGCTTTGCACTAGACTTGTCACAAGCCTTTGACATGGTGAGCAGAACAGACTTGCTTAGCACACTGCAGGAAGCGGGAGTCCCGCAAGACCTCATTGACCTAGTTGCCTCATTGCATGCTGGCAGTGCTTACACGTTTCGCACCCAGGGTGAAGAGGACACGGTCCAGTCCACTGCGGGCATTAAACAGGGGTGTAAGCTTGCCCCCACACTTTTTTCCATGCTTACGGGCACCATCTTCCGGGAGCTCATAGCTCTTGTTGGGGTTCGAGCCGTGGTGGACTACCTCACGGGCTACGCAGATGACCTTACGGTTCACCGTGACATCCACTCAATGGAGGACCTGGATCGCGCTCATGCTCTGATTGAGCAATTGTTGCAGTTGGTCCGTCGCCATGGATTTGCTGTCAACGGTGCAAAATGCACTGTTATGGTCAAACTCGAGGGCCAACAGGCGCAACGCGCCATCTCCAAGCACACTTATTGGCGCACCGCGCCTGACGGAACCCGCCATAAGATGTGGAGACTGGGAGAGTCCAAGTCTCACGAGGGCTTTCCGCTGGTGACGTCCTTTAAGTATCTCGGCGTCATGCTCTCCTACTCCAACTTCGAGAAGGCTACTCTCAAGTTCCGGTTGCAGGAGGGCAATGTGAAATTGCAGCAGGTACGCCGCTTCGTTCACAACAGACGAACGGCGGGGCCTGCATCGCGGTTGCACATTTGGCATAGCACTGTCTGGGCCACAGTAGCCTCTGGATTGGTGGATGTGGGCTTGACCCTAGAGACAGCTAAACTGTTGCGGGCTTGGCACGCTCGCAAAATTCGAGCTGTCCTGAACAAGCCAGCGCACCTGACACACATATCCACGGCTGACCTCTACGCCTCCCATGAGATCATGGACCCTGTCCGTAAGCTGCAGGCGCGACAGGCCAATCGTGTCAAGCGCTTAGGTGCTCGACGGCGGAAAACTCCTGCGGGGGACATCTCTTTAACCCAGCGCGCGCTTCTCCAGGCGGAGGCACTCTCTACTAGTTATGCAGACGTTCTGCAGCAACTTTCTAAGGACACATCACAGCAGGAGGCCTTCGACACTGAGGTCGGTCTTCGCACCCACCAGGCCCGCAAGCATCCAGGCTCGGTCATCAGATATGTCCCTCGAGGCTTCTCACACACCCTCTGTGTAGGAGGGCTCCCCAAGTGTGCGGCCTGCAACAGGCAATTCCCTCAGATGAAGGGCTTATAGGACCACTTGCTATCAGGTGCCTGCTCGGAGCCAGCTAGGCTACAGGAGCTGGATGACGCGGCGCACCCTCCCTTGGATTCGCAGCATCAGCCCAGATTGCATCCCAGGCAGCAGCGCTTGCATGACACTCTGACAACACACACGGCTGTGGAGCTCGGACGATCTGATGAGTCTCAGGACCTTATGTCACATTGCTTGCTGTGTGGGTTCTGGACCCCGGACAATACCAAGCTCAAGTCTCACATCCGGCAGGCCCACAAACCTGAATGGGCGGCTCATGGCGCTACAGCTGCAACTCAGAGCAGCAAATCAGGCCTGACCCTTGTCAAGGGCATGCCTTGCCCGTGCTGCCGCAAGCCTGTTACGGATAAGAGGCAGCATCCGGCACAATGTCCGATCCTTTTTCAGATTCTGTTTTATGACTTGGTTCATGCACTTTCCCGCTGCCAGGGCGGACCGTTACGCAGGTACATGCCAGCGGTTGGCACGACACAAGGCAACGCACCCACACGGGACGATACCACCGCTGTTGGAGCAACGCCCCAGACTCGCCAGGCAACGCCTGCAGGCCCCCTGCCACCGAAGTCAGGGACAGTAGAATCAAAGGACGGCGCGCTCGCTGCTCCTCGCTCGCTGCGCAACATCTCCAACTACTGCTATGTTAACTCAACGCTTTCGGCCCTGGTGCCGACGTGCATCTTGCTGGAGCACGGAGGGGCAAGCACCTCCCTCCATCAGGAAGTGGCTGATTCTGTCTCTGGTTCTCCTTTCACCCTGACTGCCTCTTTCACGCTTCGCCATCTTACTCCCGCTTGGCGCTATGATGGCCAACAACAAGATGCTTCGGAGTTTCTAGTGGCCTTATTTGCAGGCATTACCGCCTTTCCGATTGCACGACCCTGGGAAGTCAGGGATGTAAACACTACTGAGGTCACCGATGCGGGAGGTCCGCTCGCTTTGCTGCCAGCTCCAACGACAGGTGGATCCCATGCACTTCAGGAGCTGCTCTCTCGGTGGTCTGGCCAGCCGGTGCACACCGCCTTTCGAGGGCAGCAACGACTGGTGGTTCTCACAGTGGCGCGATTTGTTGAAGGCCGCAAGCTCAGCTATGCTGTCACTGGTCTGCACCACCCCCTTCAGCTCTCGCAGTGGGCCCCGACGGGCTCCGTACAACTAGAGAAAGGATGGGTTCAGTCCTGTATCTTCCACATAGGTGACACCCCGCACAGTGGACATTATCGCTCCCTCTGGAGGAGCAACCCCGATCAACCTTGGCTCAGCACGGACGATGGTCGTCCGTCGGTTCAGGCCTCAGATTCAGATCTCAGGCAGGCACGCCACGGCTGCTATGTGCTGTTCGTGCGACTTGGTTCAATACCGCACACAGCGGAGGCTGGCCCTATGCCAGTCCAAGTTTCAGATGATTAAGCTGAGGGTTCCCCTGAGGCCAGGGGCCCCTACTTCCCCTTGCAGGAAGGGGGCGACCTACTGGCTCTGTGGGACCGACCTGCCTACACGGCAGGGAGCAGGAACGCTGTTGTTCAGTTTTGCTGCTCAAGTCGTACAGCTGACGTAGCTCCACTACTCAGCGTTTGTGTGCAATAGCGGCCTATACCTGTCATGCTAGTCGGGCAACGCTCGCTGCTTTCCCAGAAAGGCAACGCCTGTCAGCAACACAGCTGACCAATGGCTGAAATCGGCTTTACAAACCCCCATTCTCGGCTCGAGAAGGGGGGTTTGTCCGAGGCCTAAAAATCAAGGTTTTGCAACCCCCCATTCTCGGCTCGAGAATGGGGGGTTGTCCGAGGCCCCCAAGCCATTGCCGGCAAGCCTGGCCTCTGGAGGGGAGTACGCCTCTTACGAATAAGGTTAGCCTTATTAGGCACAGTGTGCTTACCGCCAGGGTGTGCCACATCGTTCACCGATGCTATCTGCTTGCCCACAAAAGCGGAGCGGCCTCAGATAACAGCACTAGCAGCCGTTCCACATGCTCATCACCTTTGCGACCTTACGGCCCATCGCCTTTGATTGAGAGTGACCATGAGTGGGACGCCACGCAACAGGCACTCTGAGTGACGGTCCCGAGGGGGTACGGCTCATCAATCATCGGTCCGTGGACATGGGACGCCATAGTCCACACTGAGGGTGACGGAGGGTTTCTCACCCACGCCTGAGACGCATGAACCGGCTTTTGAGGTAGCTTGTAGGGTAGCTCTCTTCACGGTAGCCTGTTTCAGCGCTTTCAGGCCCAGGCCCTTAGCATTTCTGCTCTCAGACCTTTGTTCAGGTGCAAAGGCAGTCTCACACGCCCGCAATGAGCAGAGCCCGCTCGCTCAGCGTCCAATAAAAAAAATTGTTGTTGTTGTTGTTGTTGTTGTTGTTGTTGTTGTTGTTGTTGTTGTTGCTGTTGTTGGTGTTGTTGTTGCTGTTGTTGTTGGTTGTTGTTGTTGTTGTTGTTGTTGTTGTTGTTGTTGTTGTTGTTGTTGTTGTTGTTGTTGTTGTTGTTGTTGTTGTTGTTGTTGTTGTTGTTGTTGTTGTTGTTGTTGTTGTTGTTGTTGTTGTTGTTGTTGTTGTTGTTTTGTTGTTGTTGTTGTTGTTGTTGTTGTTGTTGTTGTTGTTGTTGTTGTTGTTGTTGTTGTTGTTGTTGTTGTTGTTGTTGTTGTTGTTGTTTGTTGTTTGTTGTTTGTTGTTTGTTGTTTGTTGTTTGTTGTTTGTTGTTTGTTGTTTGTTGTTTGTTGTTGTTGTTGTTGCCGTGGTTGTTGCTGTTGGTTGCTTCGGTTGTTGGCTGTTGTTTTGATTGTTTTCCGTGGCTTTTGGTTCTGATGCTGATGTTGTTGTTTGTTGTTGCTGTTTGCTGTTTGCTGTTTGCTGTTTGCTGTAGCTATCGCTGTAGCGATCGCTGTAGCTATCGCTGTTGGCGCTGCCGTTGTCGCTTCGTTTGTTTGTGTTGCTTTGCTTTGCTTGCTTGTTAGTTTGTTGGTTCGTCACTGCCGGGCTATGATCGCTGTAGGCCGGCCTAGCAAGGCGCCAACGTCATATACTCTTCGTTTGTTGCTTTCCTTCGTTTTTGTTAGCTGGTCTGTGCGTCTGACTGTTGCAATGTCGGTTAACTAGCTAGCAGCTAGCGGGTAGTGTTAGTTAGTTTGTGACGCAAGTGCGGTAAGCTCGTTCATCGTCGTCGTTGTTGCTGTTGCTGTGTTTTGCCGTTCCTGCTCCTGATGCTCCTGGAAAGCCGTCCTTGTGCATGGAGTCCATGGGTTGCGACAAAAAGAAACCCTTCGCGCTGCCGTCAGAGTAGGCCCAGGGGACATCTAATTTGGGGTCCAGGCTCTCCGCTGTAGACTCCAAAGGGGAAGAAGAGCACATGGCTTCGGTGTCGCTGCCGGCAGGATATTCCAAGGCCTGACGCTCCATGGACGCGTTTTCGTTCTGTGCTCATTGTGGTCCTACAGAGAAGGCCTTAGGACTTGAATGTTTACCGGGTGCTTCTTACTCTCGTCTTTGGATGGGCTAAAGACATATTTGTGAGCATGTTCTGAGCTCCAGCGTTCAAATCTGTTCCAGGCCCAGGCATTCGGTAGCTGCATTTTGTCGTGTGACTACTAAGTTTCCGAAAAAACCCAGCGGGCCCCGAGTACGAGAATCGATGCGATTGCCATGCCCTGCCCAGTACAGGCACAAGAGCCGAGTTTTCGGAACATTCTAGGATTCTAGGACTCTCACGGTTTCGATTTGCTGGGTTCGAGAAATTCAGGCTTTGCGGGAGGCTTAAGGCTTACGGTCGACAGGAGCGGCTTTGATGGTGAGTCGAGCTCAGATGTTCAGCACAGGGTTTTTGCAAGATGATGCGGAACTCGCCGTTTGCGGCCGCAATCATGGAACTAGGTTGCTTGTGCAACGTTCTCCGGTCCTCTGCGAATCCGTCAATTGCAGGACTTCCGCGTGGCGACCCAACCAGGCCAAGCAGCCCCGGTGGTTCGGACACTCTCTTTCAGCCAGCAAACTGCGCCTGCTCCCCAAGCTGCAAGCATTTCTCGGATTCCGACCAGGGTGCAGAGAGCCTCAAGTTTCCACACAGGCGCGCCCGCTCCACCCGCACATCCCTCCATGGTCTACACAGCTCCAGGTCCAGCCGGTCCAGCTGGCCGCCGAACAATCCACCCCGGTGCTGTCTACCCTACCGCAAGCCACGGGTTTGTCGCCCCTGGGTTCGGCCGCCAGACCAGCACACCAGTTACAGTTCCCGTCACTCAGCCGTTCGGCCGGCAAACCAGCACACCAGCCACAGTGACTCAGCCGTTCGGGCGCCAGACGAGCACACCAGCCACCGTCACCCACGCGTTCGGGCGCCAGACAAGCACGCCGGCCCCTGTGCCGCTGCAGCAAGCCGTCCCTGCTGCAGTCTACCGTCGGTACACCTCCTTTACGGCTCCGCCCGGAGTTGGCCTCGCAGCTGCCGCCCGAGCTGCGACGGCCTTCCACACTCAACCCACGACCCAGGCGACCCAGGCGACCCAGAGCCAGGACCAAGCTTCTCAAGACGAGTTCGACGACACTCGTCTCAGACAGCATTGTTGCACTTTGGAGAGCACAACTAGTTTCATTTCGAGTGCCACGACCGTGCACAGGTCGAAGAGCTGCAGCCTGAGGTGGTCGCGACTGTGGATGCACAGATTCTCACGCAGACCATTGCAGAGGCCAAGCGGCCCGAAACACAGCTGTAAACCTACAAAGTAGCACAGCTCTCGAACCACGCTCCTCACCGTGTTTGCCAGGACGTGGAGCCCACTGAGGACGCCACAGTCCAGGCCCGCCAAAGAAGAAGCGAACGCATGGTGTCCATCGTGTCTCCCCATGCACAGGTCAAGGAGCAGCAGCAGCCCGAGGTGGCTGCGACTTCGGAAGCAGAGACCGTGAAGGAGACCGACTTCGAGGCACACAGCTGTGAGAGACTGAGAAGCCCAACCAGCCAGCCTTCAAGATTTCTCGAATCGGCCGCTTGAGCTAGAAGTCTTCTAGCCGCTAACCAGGACGCGAAGGCTCATGTCCACGAAAGCGTTGTGAGTCCAGAGGCTTGGGCTAACTTTGAGGCTCAGGATGCGGATGTTTCGTTCCATATCTGGCAGCCGGCTGTGCAGTATCATCATCGTGGAGGCATTGATGATTGAACTTTCGATGTAGAATTGAGTCGCACCTGGGCGGTCGTAATTGGTTCGGGATGTGCGCAGAAGGACGTGAGAGCCATGAGTGGGATGTAGCATGCACTTTGTCCTCAGTGACCTCAGGTGTTTGTCTTCAACTTCAGGTGTGCGAAGGAAGTCCATCGTGTCTCCCCATGCACAGGTCAAGGAGCAGCAGCAGCCCGAGGTGGCTGCGACTGCGGAAGCAGAGACCGTGAAGGAGACCGACTTCGAGGCACACAGCTGTGAGAGACTGAGAAGCCCAACCAGCCAGCCTTCAAGATTTCTCGAATCGGCCGCTTGAGCTAGAAGTCTTCTAGCCGCTAACCAGGACGCGAAGGCTCATGTCCACGAAAGCGTTGTGAGTCCAGAGGCTTGGGCTAACTTTGAGGCTCAGGATGCGGATGTTTCGTTCCATATCTGGCAGCCGGCTGTGCAGTATCATCATCGTGGAGGCATTGATGATTGAACTTTCGATGTAGAATTGAGTCGCACCTGGGCGGTCGTAATTGGTTCGGGATGTGCGCAGAAGGACGTGAGAGCCATGAGTGGGATGTAGCATGCACTTTGTCCTCAGTGACCTCAGGTGTTTGTCTTCAACTTCAGGTGTGCGAAGGAAGTCCATCGTGTCTCCCCATGCACAGGTCAAGGAGCAGCAGCAGCCCGAGGTGGCTGCGACTGCGGAAGCAGAGACCGTGAAGGAGACCGACTTCGAGGCACACAGCTGTGAGAGACTGAGAAGCCCAACCAGCCAGCCTTCAAGATTTCTCGAATCGGCCTCTTGAGCTAGAAGTCTTCTAGCTGCTAACCAGGACGCGAAGGCTCATGTCCACGAAAGCGTTGTGAGTCCAGAGGCTTGGGCTAACTTTGAGGCTCAGGATGCGGATGTTTCGTTCCATATCTGGCAGCCGGCTGTGCAGTATCATCATCGTGGAGGCATTGATGATTGAACTTTCGATGTAGAATTGAGTCGCACCTGGGCGGTCGTAATTGAGCCTTCAAGATTTCTCGAATCGGCCGCTTGAGCTAGAAGTCTTCTAGCCAGGAGGTGAAGGCTCACGTCCACGAAAACGTTGTGAGTCCAGAGGCTTGAGCTAACTTTGAGGCTCAGGATGCGGAGGTTTCGTTCCATATCTGGCAGCCGGCTGTGCAGTATCATCATTGTGGCTCTCGTGTTCGGAGGCATTGATGATTGAACTTTCGATGTAGAATTGAGCTCACCTGGGCGGTCGTAGTTGGTCCGGGATGTGCGCAGAAGGACGTGAGAGCCATGAGTGGGATGTAGCATGCACTTTGTCCTCAGTGACCTCAGGTGTTTGTCTTCAACTTCAGGTATGCGAAGGAAGTCCATCGTGTCTCCCCATGCACAGGTCAAGGAGCAGCAGCAGCCCGAGGTGGCTGCGACTGCGGAAGCAGAGACCCTGAAGGAGACCGACTTCGAGGCACACAGCTGTGAGAGACTGAGAAGCCCAACCAGCCAGCCTTCAAGATTTCTCGAATCGGCCGCTTGAGCTAGAAGTCTTCTAGCCGCTAACTAGGACGCGAAGGCTCATGTCCACGAAAGCGTTGTGAGTCCAGAGGCTTGAGCTAACTTTGAGGCTCAGGATGCGGATGTTTCGTTCCATATCTGGCAGCCGGCTGTGCAGTATCATCATCGTGGCTCTCGTGTTCGGAGGCATTGATAATTGAACTTTCGATGTAGAATTGAGTCGCACCTGGGCGGTCGTAGTTGGTCCGGGATGTGCAGAAGGACGTGAGATCCATGAGTGGGATGTAGCATGCACTTTGTCCTCAGTGACCTCAGGTGTTTGTCTTCAACTTCAGGTGTGCGAAGGAAGTCCATCGTGTCTCCCCATGCACAGGTCAAGGAGCAGCAGCAGCCCGAGGTGGCTGCAACTGCGGAAGCAGAGACCCTGAAGGAGACCGACTTCGAGGCACACAGCTGTGAGAGACTGAGAAGCCCAACCAGCCAGCCTTCAAGATTTCTCGAATCGGCCGCTTGAGCTAGAAGTCTTCTAGCCGCTAACTAGGACGCGAAGGCTCATGTCCACGAAAGCGTTGTGAGTCCAGAGGATTGAGCTAACTTTGAGGCTCAGGATGCGGATGTTTCGTTCCATATCTGGCAGCCGGCTGTGCAGTATCATCATCGTGGCTCTCGTGTTCGGAGGCATTGATGATTGAACTTTCGATGTAGAATTGAGTCGCACCTGGGCGGTCGTAGTTGGTCTGGGATGTGCGCAGAAGGACGTGAGAGCCATGAGTGGGATGTAGCATGCACTTTGTCCACAGTGACCTCAGGTGTTTGTCTTCAACTTCAGGTATGCGAAAGAAGTCCATCGTGTCTCCCCATGCACAGGTCAAGGAGCAGCAGCAGCAGCCCGAGGTGGCTGCGACTGTGGAAGCAGAGACCCTGAAGGAGACCGACTTCGAGGCACACAGCTGTGAGAGACTGAGAAGAAGCGCAACCAGCCAGCCTTCAAGATGTCTCGAACCCGCTGCTCCGCTATCTAGGACGCCACGGAAGTGTCGGTGAGCAATCAACGATTCTCGGAAGTTCTAAGTACGAAATTTACAAGGGGTCGGTTTATCTCGCGTCGTGTTTTTGTACGTCGATCAGCGTCCAACATGGGGCAAAGCCGCTCTCAGCAGATGCCTGATGTTGTAGCAGATTCTCTGCTGTTTAGACAGAGTCGGGGCAGCGAATGGTTGCCAGCCTCGTCTACCAGCCGTAGTAGGTCCAGCATGCGAACTCCAGCGTCTACATTGCGAGTTGTTGGTTTTGATTTGCCATTTGCTGCCGTGCCACTGATGTGTTTCTCGAGCTGGTTCTTGCACAACCGACAGTCTACATGGCCAATGGCCATGTTTTGCAGTTTGCATCGCACTGATGTGTTTCTTGCACGAGTGCTTGCGACATCGAGCGTTTAGATGGGGAAGGGCTGGTTTTGTATGCTGCGACTCCGATGCCACTGATTTGTGTCCGGAGCGGGTGCTGTGAAATCGAGCGTCTGCATGTGTTGCGTTGGTATTTGCTGCATAGCCACTGATGCGTTGCTGGAGCGGGTGCCTGCCAAATCCAGCGTCGACATGAAGCATGGCGGGTTTTGATGTGCGGTGCCACACTGCCACTGATGAGCATCTTGAGCGGGTGCTTGCGAAATCGAGCGTCTGCATGGGAAATGGTGATGCTAGAAGTTCCTGTTGTTCTCTTCGTCTACGTCGTCGTGCTGATGACGTCGATTGGCGTCCACGCGAAGGTTCTCAGCGCAAATCTGGTGCTTTAGCGGTGTTGTTTTTCTTTGCGTTTTGAACAGCGTCTACATTGTGCTGGGAATGTTGGCAGTGCTTTGACGGGTTGTCAGCTTCATTAAGCAGCAGCAGCAGCAGCAGCAGCCGCAGCAGGAGTAGTAGTAGTAGTAGTAGTAGTAGTAGTAGTAGTAGCAGTAGTAGTAGTAGTAGTGGTAGTAGTATACCAACCACCTCTCCTACACACTGTTCAAGAGCACATCCAACGATGACGATGATGGGGTTAGGCGCCAGGTGGTTGGTAGGAGTGGGGGTGGCTACTAGTAGCAGTAGTAGTAGTAGTAGTAGTAGTAGTAGTAGTAATAGTAGTAGTAATCGTGGTCGTAGTAGTAGCAGTAGTAGTAGTAGTAGTACTAGTAGTAGTAGTAGTAGTAGTAGTAGTAGTAGTAGTAGTAGTAGTAGTAGTAGTAGTAGTAGTCGTGCTAGCAGTAGCAGTAGAAGAAGTAGTAGTAGTAGTAGTAGTAGTAGTAGTAGTAGTAGCAGTAGCAGTAGCAGTACTAGTAGGACCCGTTAAGCAGTTGCACTCCTGCAACATGGTGATTGGCATTTGACTCTGAAACAATGCTGAGTACTGCACAACGTGCCAAAACGGTGCCGTCCGCAAATCCTGCAGTTTGACCCATGTTCACTGCCAGCGTTTGCTTGGGGATTGCTTTGCCCTGATGTGTTCGCCACTGATGTGTATTTATGCTACGCAGTGTCCAACATGGGGTGATGTGTGTATTCAAGCGACCCGATGTGAGATAGGCCCGCCGCCTAGTGGATTTCTTGGTTTGCGTCCAGTGTTGGTTTTGCTAGGGTGACGAGATCTGACCCGTACGAAAGACGAGACAGACCAGCACTTTGCATATGAGCTTGCAACTTCGCTGGGTTAGGAGCTTCCCAGCAGAGTCTTTGCAGGCTGGATGCAAAAAGGAACTGGCAGCAACAGTGTTTGAGCTTCCGTGCCCCCATATTAAATCAATTCTGCCAAGGAGGATATATTTAGAGACAAACGAGAGCGGCCGCACATCATACATTGCTACCCTTGGAGTCATGTAACAGTCACTCAGTTCCAAAACTGAGTCGCTAAAACCTGGTTTCAAGACTGCATGGCTTCAGCAGAGGCCCAAGGCTCAAGCAGGGGGTGTCTCTTGCATATGGGACATGAGTGCGGAAGGGGGGCAGGGCGTGTGGAGTTCTCTCTCATCTTTGCCAGGACGAGAAGCGGGCGGAGGACGGAAAGGAGGCTGATGATGCGGTAGGATCCTGAGGAAAGGCAAGCACTGGAGTACCCAGTACCTTTTCCTGCCGGTCGTCAGTTCCCAACGCTCTCAACCCTATGTTCCAACTGGCCGAAGCAAGACCGACAGTTTCAAACAACTGCAGCTGACTGAGGCTCTGAGTGCTTGTCGTGGAAGCTCCATGCTTCGGAACCCAAAGACGTTTTCGTTCTGCTTATTGTTTGGGGTTTCCGACCCGTTTGTTTGCGTCGAGGCCGAGATCGCTTGAAGGAGTCGGTATCGTTGCTGGGTGATCAACGACTGAACCTCGCCCGCCGACCCCCCTCACTGTGTGTGCCTTCGGGGCTTTTGCCTCCTCATTGTCACGTTCCTGCTCCTCGAAGCGTCGCAGCGATCTCCACACAGAGCCCAAGAGTCTGCGACTGCAAAAACCATCATCAACTCAGATTTCATATGCGGGAGTCCCGAGGACAGCACCATCACCGGCATGCTGGGTTTGAGCATCTTGCCTTAAATCAGGGGGAGCGGGATGCCAACCACAATGGTGAAGATGCCAACCGGCGCAGTGTGGGTGCCATCGGGCTGCAGGGTTTTGCATTGGGCTGCTGCCAACGTACATGGGGGTTTCCGAAAATTGGGGGGTACCTTACTTTGGGGTCCCTATAATAAGGATCCTACTGTTTAGGGCACTATGTTAGGGTCCCCCACTTTCGGAAACTCCCACATCTGAAATAGACAGGCGCTAGCCCAACCACTGTCGCAAGGGCCTCTAAACCGTCATGGTTCATGATCATGTATTCGATGTGCTCGCAAGATTCCACTCTGCATCCTGCACCGGGGTCAACTTCCGGTAGAGCAAGTGTCCTTCCAGTGCCCTTAGGTAGAGAGAGAGAGAGAGCTGCTCCCGCTCCAAGCCCCTAGCAAAGCGAAGCAAAGAGAGAGAGAGAGAGAGAGAAGCAACGAAGAAAGGAGGTGCCCGAAGAGCCCGACTCATTTTTCAGCAGAGGGGTTTAGGCCCAGGCTTCAGGAGCTTTGCGACTTAGGTGCTGCCATGGAGACGCCGAACAAGGCCAGGCACCACGGCTCAGAATTCGGGCTTCAGCGGTTTGAGAAGGATTGCGACCTTACGCTGTGTTTTATTCTGGCGTCCCAAACGCGAAAAGTGAGAGCGTGGATTTAACATGTAAACAAAGCACAACACGAACCAGACGCAAGGGCCAGAACGAAAATGGCAAAATGAAAAGGTAAAGAACTAAATAAACAAGCGGTTCCCGTGTTGTAGTTCATTCTCTTGGCCCTGCTCTCACTTTCATCCTATTTCCTTGTGTCGTGTCCTGTGGTTCCAAATTAAGAGGTAAAGGACATTACTATTACAATTACTATTACTATTACTACGCCACTACGCTATTACTATTTCTAGAACTGTTACTATTATTTGCACGCTTCAAAAATTCTCTTACACGGAGTGTTGGGTGGGTTTGGGCGCTCGGAGCCGCAAGCCCCGAACTGAGCGGAAAGCTGCAAGACGTCTCGTGCCGGCCAAGCCAACATAATAAGAATAGCAATAGTAACTAGTAATACTGCGGTTGATGATACAAATCCTGCATTACTATAAGGACCCTAAACTATCGGAATTATGGTATATCTTTATTATGGGTAATGCAGGATTTATAGCATCAACCGTAGTAGTAGTCATAATAGTAATAACAGTAATGATAGTAATACTACTATGAAGAGTGGGAAGTGGCCGAAGCAAAGCCGACATGGCCAAACCCCGGTGAACCTCAGCTTGAAGAGAGGCAGAGGCGTCACTGGACAATGGGTCCCTTCAGCCATGCCAGTGCGGACAGGCTTTGCCTCAGCCTCAGCCGCAGCCGGATGCCACGGCGCAGCTCCTGGAAGCCATCGAGGCACGAAGCAAAGCAAGGGGTTCAGGTTTCAAGTGGCTAGTATCCAGCAGGGCGGAAACTGCAATCCTTAAGTTTTGAGTTCGCTCGAGGCATGCTGAGGTACTGAACCCACTTGACTGCAGGATGCGTCAATATCCACCTGGCAGCCTTGCCCGAAAGCCCCTGCCCATAGCAACGAAAAAGCGCAGTCCCGCGAAAGACTTGTGGCCAGGATTTAGAGCAGCAGGAAGACAAGGCAAGTGCTGAAGTGCTGGGACTTGGAGAAGGGGTGGGGTTTGGGGTTCTTGGGAAGTCCTCAGGTCGTGGCATCTGCCAGGGCGGCGATGCTGCTAGCACCTGCCATGTTGTAGTCGAGCAGCACAGCAGCGCGCAGCATTGTTGAACCACGACTAGGTGTGAAAAAATCGGGCTCCTGTTGCTTTAAGATTGCCAGCCGCCAGCCCATAATACTTGACACCGGTTCCGGGTGCCTGAGCCTTTCCTGCTCCGTGGATCGACTTCGCATTCGCAACCCGGGACCCCTCGGTGTATGGAAGCATGTGCTTCTGTAAACACTGCAGCTCTGAAGTCGGCTTTGGCGGCCGCAGGATGTAACGAGTTGGGGCCCTGCAGAAGAAGGGCAAGTCGGTGTTCGCAGATGGATCAAATCACAAAGATATGCGGGTGGTACTTCCTCACACCGTTTGATTCTGTGCAGCACGGCTGCCTGCTACGTTGGGGTATCGATAACTTCGACGGACCCTGTTCCCGTGAGATGCCTCATACCTGAACCGTGATCCCCTAAAGGGTAGAGGGATAACTTGTGACTTCTATTTTATCTCGCTTGTGACTTCTCACTTTCTGACCTTCAAAGATACTGAATTTCCATGGATTTTGGACTCCCCCCCTCCCTCTCCACATCCTGATACCAAACAGGCCGAAACAGGCGAGCGACCCGCTTTGGTCAGATGGATTTTGAATCAGCATCCCCAAATAGGGGGGGGGGGCGTGTTTAAGATAGATGATGAAGTAGCATCGCCAAATGCCAAACGAGGGGGCGTGTTTAAGAACATGGGGAACCGGAATCGCCAAATGAGGGGACGTGTTTAAGATATATGAGGAACAGGAACCGCCAAATGGGGAGGGCTGTTTAAGATATATGGGGAACCGGCATCGCCGAATCAGGGAGCGGCCAAATAGATAATGAAGTAGCATGGCCAAAAGAGGGGCGTGTTGAAGACATATGGTGAAGTAGCATCGCCAAATGAGGGGGATGTTTAAGATAGATAATGAGGTAGCATGGCTAAATGAGGGGCTTGTTTCAGAAATATGGGGAACCGGCATCGCCAAATGAGAGGGCGTGTTTTTTAGGTATATGTCGTACCGGCATCGCCAATCGATGGGGCCTGTTTCATCGCCAAATGAGGAGGCGTGTTGAAGATATATCTTGAACCGGAATCGCCAAATGAAGGACAGTGGTTTTTGATATACGTTGAACCGGAATCGCCGGTCGCCAAATGAGGGCCTTGTTTAAGATAGATGATGAAGCAGCATCGCTAAACGAGGGAGCGTGTTCAAGATAGATGATGAAATAGCATCGCCAAATGAGGTTGCGTGTATTAAGATATAGGAAGAACAGGAATCGACAAATGAAGGGGTGTGTATTAAGATATATGATGAACGGAATCGCAAAATGAGGCGGCATGTTTAAGGTTTATGTTGAACCGGAATCGCCGGTCTCCAAATGAGGGGCCTTTTTTAAGATAGATGATGAAGTAGCTCGCTAAACGAGGGTGCGTGTTTAAGATAGATGGTGAAATAGCATCCCCAAATGAGGCTGCGTGTATTAAGATATATGAAGAAAAGGAATCGACAAATGAGGGGACGTGTTTAAGATATATGATGAACCGGAATCGCCAAATGAGGGGGCATGTTTAAGATGTATCGTGAACCGGAATCGCCAAGTGAGGGGGCGTGATTAAAATATGTGTTGAACCGGAATCGCCCGGCGCCAAATGAGGGGCCCTGTTTAAGATAGATGATGAAGTAGAATGGCCAAACGAGGGGGCGCTTTTAAGATAGATAGTGAACTAGCATCGCCAAATGAGGGGGCTTGTTTCAGAAATATGGGGAACCGGCATCGCCAACTGGAGGGGGGGGCGTGTTTTCAGATATATGTTGAACCGGCATCGCTATTCGAGGGGGCGTTTTGCATCGCTAAATCAGGGGGGGGGGGGGGGGGGGGGGGGGGGCGTGTTTAAGAAATATGATGAACCGGAATACCCAAATGAGGGGGCGTGTTTAAGATATATGTTGAACCGGAACCGCCAAATCAGGGGCCGTGTTTAAGATAGACGGTGAACTAGCATCGCCAGAAGAGCGGGCGTGAAGAAGATAGGTGATGAAGTCGTATCGCAAAATGAGGGGGGCGTGTTTAAGTTTTATCTTGAACCGGACCGGAGTCGCCAAGCGAAGTAGCATCGCCAAATGCCAATATAGGGGGCGTGCTTAAGATATATGTCGAACCGGAATGGCCAAATGAGGGGGCGTGTTTGAAAGATATTTTGAACCGGAATCGCCAATATCAGGGGGCATGTTTAGTGTGTATGAAGAACCGGCATCACAAGCGATTTTCGCCGAGAGGGGTTGCATATTGTTCTGTGGGAGAAGTCACAAAGCGGAGAAGTCACAAGTGATTCGAAGCACTTTTGCCGATACGTGCTGCAAATTTCGTGTGTCAGAGAAGTCACAAGTGAGACAACATTGAAGTCATCAGTGAGCCGCCTCTCGGGAAGGCCTGAGAAGTCACAGGTGAGACAAAATACAAGTCAAAAGCGCCAGGCCCCTAAAGCCGCTTCTGCCCCATGTCGCCAGGCAGACAGAGCCTTCAAACAGTGTCTCCCGGCCGGTGCCTGAGTAAGACAGGCATCGAAGAGTTATTTCATGTCATATCGCAGGAGGTTGGTACACAACTCCACAAAAACTTGCCAAGAGAAGCTGACCGTGCGCAGTACGCATTGCCACTGACTCCAACGAGTGAGACCGATCTCGTTGGCCCCTGCTGCGGGCTTCGTGAGTTTCTGGTGCAGGCTGTCACTCTCGGTTTGCCACCCCTTGCACAAGCCTGGACGTTAAGCCGTTAAGCCAGGGTGGAGAACTGACAGCCGTGGCTTCCCAGAAAGAGGCCCAAACTGAGGGTTGCCCCCTCAGCCACCAACATCCTGCCAACAGGCTGCGGGACAGCCACCGGAATTGAAGTTGGAAAGATCCCAAAACCACGAGCCGATGCTTCCGAATTCGTCGTTCTGTACCGGAATGCTACAAATTTCTGGGAAGTTACTTTTTCCATCTTTGCAGGATTTTGCAGGCATGAAAGGCAGTAGCTGCTCGACGGTCTTTGACGGATAGTTCAAGATCCGGCCCATCCTTCGGCACCGCGTGCCCGGGCCTGTAGCCGAAGGTTTGGCTCGTGCTCCGGAAATGGCTACCTGCGCCGCTGCGCCGCTTGATGCGGCTGCAGGGCTCATCAGTGGGACTCGAGCCTGCCAAGAAGGACCTTTCGAAGAGCACAAGGGGGTCGGAGTTGCAGAGACATAACGGTAGACTTGTTGTACGCACATTTTCGCCTGATACGTGTAGCTCTCTTTGGCGCATTGTTGCAATGCCATAGAAGGTATGCACATGGTTCGCCGTCAGTTGTTCTACTTGAAAAAGTATCTGCAGGAGTTCATCCTGGATGCAGACATGGCGGCTCCGTGATTGCCCCAGATGGTCTAAGGACTACCACTAAGCTCCGGGAAAATGTAATGCTGTGCTGCTGATATGATGGAAGAAGCATCATGCCAGGACGTGCCAAAATCCAAGCTATTAAGCCTCAAGCCTCAGACCCCGAAGCCCACGACCCACATCCTTGCACCATCTTGCACCGTGGCACGTAGTGACCACACCTGGAAAATCATTAAAAAGAAAACCTGGCAGCACAAAACAGCCGTCCCAAGGTCTCTGGAGAAGGATGGCCAGGGCCGAATGTAGAACAGTGTAGGTGTACAGAGCAGGGGCGTCTTCGCCATCAGAGTTTTTCAAGCCAGTGGGCAGCACGATCTTCCAGTACTCCTTTGCCTGCGCAGAACACACTCCACTTAAAGGATCATGGGACTTCGTAACTAGAGTTGTTATTATTAAGGTAACTATACTTACAACCCCAATTGGGGTACTCATAACCTTACTTGCTAAGTCCTAGGATCCTCCAAGCAAGGGGTCCTTGTGTTGCTAATGTGCGGTTTGCAGCCGAGGCAACGGAGTCGAAGTCTTGCTTGCTCCGACGACTGGAGTAGGTTAGGCAATGCGGTTGGCCGAAGAAAGCCCCGCGGAGCAGCCTTTGCTTGGTTCCTGCATTCTAATACATTCTGCAGTGATAGGGTGACCGGGTGCGTTTGGGTTGTTTTAGAGGATGTAAAGACCACAGGTGTTCATCGCTGCCATGTGCTGCCCGCACAATTTAAGAGCAGCCGCTGTCAGCTTTTAAAGCCATCGTGCCGTCTGGACCGGGCATACCTGACTGATTCGTGAGCTCTTCGCGAATCCCATCTCACTCGAAAAAGATCATGCCCGCGCGATGCGACATACCCACTGCACAGATGCTCCCTGTCTGCCCGTCCTGCGAAGGGGGGGGTGGGTTTGATTTCACATTCAAACGACCGTGCTCTGACACACTATCTGGAAGGTTTCAGTGGCATGCTAGCAATGCAAAGTTCGGGATACAGCCAATGCCGAAGGCCTCTGTGCATCGCAAGAGCTATCCAAGTCATGAGGCAGGAGGGGCTGATCGTGACACTGGGAACAGTGGGTGTGTCGTCGAGCCACTTCGTCGCGGACCCAGGCCCTCAAGATTCACTAGACCTCTTTGCACTATAGTGAAATTCTCAAGGACTGTCAACTGGAAGGCACTTCTGTAGGACTCAGTGTTTCCATGCAGAGTATTGAGCCTTTGAGGTGCCAAGGAGCTGCTTGGCAAGGGGGTGATCTGAGGCTTTTTTTCGCGTTATCTGTGTCAATTTTTTTCCGCGTTATCTGTGTCGTGTTTTTTCTCTGCTTTAGGTCTGATGTCCCAAGGTATGGCTTACCGTACCAAAGTTTTTGGTTAATGTGTGTCTTCATTGTGTGCGTCATCTGTGTCTTTCTTTGTTGCGCTTATCTGTGTCTCTTTTTTTCTGATTTACTTATCCATGTCTGTCTGCCTTGATTTTACATGCGTCTTTTGAAACCATTTTTGAAACGAGTGGCAGGGCCTTGAAACTGCTTTTTACAGCACAACCTCAGTACGCGGAACGCTCTTCCTTCCAGTGGCCTTCGAAATGCTCTCTTGGAATACAAACTCAGCACGCGGAACGCTCCTCCAATGGCAGGGTCTTGACACTGCTCTGTTGGAGTGCAAGCTCAGCACGCGGAATGCTCTTGCCAGCAGGTTTTGGCTCTCAACAAACCCTTGGCCCGAAACAGGGCTTCAAGTTTAGAATGTTTGGGCTCTCAACAAACCCTTGGCCCGAAACAGGGCTTCAAGTTTAGAATGTTTGGGCTCTCAACAAACCCTTGGCCCGAAACAGGGCTTCAAGTTTAGCATGCTTTGGCTCTCAACAAACCCTTGGCCCGAAACAGGGCTTCAAGTTTAGCATGCTTTGGCTCTCAACAAACCCTTGGCCCGAAACAGGGCTTCAAGTTTAGCATGCTTTGGCTCTCAACAAACCCTTGGCCCGAAACAGGGCTTCAAGTTTGGAATGTTTGGGTCTCAACAAACCCTTGGCCCGAAACAGGGCTTCAAGTTTAGAATGTTTGGGATCTCAACAAACCCTTGGCCCGAAACAGGGCTTCAAGTTTAGAATGTTCGGGCTCTCAACAAACCCTTGGCCCGAAACAGGGCTTCAAGTTTAGAATGTTTGGGCTCTCAACAAACCCTTGGCCCGAAACAGAGCTTCAAGTTTAGCATGCTTTGGCTCTCAACAAACCCATGGCCCGAAACAGGGCTTCAAGTTTAGCATGTTTTGGCTCTCAACAAACCCTGGACCCGAAACAGGGCTTCAAGTTTAGCATGTTTTTGGCTCTCAGCAAACCCTTGGCCCGAAACAGGGCTTCAAGTTTAGCATGCTTTGGCTCTCAACAAACCCTTGGCCCGAAACAGGGCTTCAAGTTTAGAATGTTTGGGCTCTCAACCAACCCTTGGCCCGAAACAGGGCTTCAAGTTTAGAATGCTTGGGCTCTCAACAAACCCTTGGCCCGAAACAGGGCTTCAAGTTTAGAATGTTTGGGATCTCAACAAACCCTTGGCCCGAAACAGGGCTTCAAGTTTAGAATGTTTGGGCTCTCAACAAACCCTTATCCCGAAACAGGGCTTCAAGTTTAGAATGTTCGGGCTCTCAACAAACCCTTGGCCCGAAACAGGGCTTCAAGTTTAGAATGTTTGGGCTCTCAACAAACCCTTGGCCCGAAACAGGGCGTCAAGTTTAGCATGCTTTTGCTCTCAACAAACCCTTGGCCCGAAACAGGGCTTCAAGTTTAGAATGTTTGGGCTCTCAACAAACCCTTGGCCCGAAACAGGGCTTCAAGTTTAGCATGCTTTGGCTCTCAACAAACCCTTGGCCCGAAACAGGGCTTCAAGTTTAGAATGTTTTGGCTCTCAACAAACCCTTGGCCCGAAACAGGGCTTCAAGTTTAGTATGCTTTGGCTCTCAACAAACCCTTGGCCCGAAACAGGGCTTCAAGTTTAGCTTGCTTTGGCTCTCAACAAACCCTTGGCCCGAAACAGGGCTTCAAGTGTCGCATTCTGTGGCTCACAGCAAACCCTTGGCCCGAAACAGGGCTTCAAGTTTAGAATGTTTTGGCTCTCAACAAACCCTTGGCCCGAAACAGGGCTTCAAGTTTAGAATGTTTTGGCTCTCAACAAACCCTTGGCCCGAAACAGGGCTTCAAGTTTAGCATGCTTTGGCTCTCAACAAACCCTTGGCCCGAAACAGGGCTTCAAGTTTAGCATGCTTTGGCTCTCAACAAACCCTTGGCCCGAAACAGGGCTTCAAGTTTAGCATGCTTTGGCTCTCAACAAACCCTTGGCCCGAAACAGGGCTTCAAGTTTAGCATGCTTTGGATCTCAACAAACCCATGGCCCGAAACAGGGCTTCAAGTGTCGCATTCTGTGGCTCTCAACAAACCCTTGGCCCGAAACAGGGCTTCAAGTTTAGCATGCTTTGGCTCTCAACAAACCCTTGGCCCGAAACAGGGCTTCAAGTTTAGCATGCTTTGGCTCTCAACAAACCCTTGGCCCGAAACAGGGCTTCAAGTTTAGCATGCTTTGGCTCTCAACAAACCCTTGGCCCGAAACAGGGCTTCAAGTTTAGAATGTTTGGCTCTCAACAAACCCTTGGCCCGAAACAGGGCTTCAAGTTTAGAATGTTTGGGCTCTCAACAAACCCTTGGCCCGAAAGGGCTTCAAGGGCTTGGCTCTCAACAAACCCTTGGCCCGAAACAGGGCTTCAAGTTTAGCATGCTTTGGCTCTCAACAAACCCTTGGCCCGAAACAGGGCTTCAAGTTTAGCATGCTTTGGCTCTCAACAAACCCTTGGCCCGAAACAGGGCTTCAAGTTTAGCATGCTTTGGCTCTCAACAAACCCTTGGCCCGAAACAGGGCTTCAAGTTTAGCATGCTTTGGCTCTCAACAAACCCTTGGCCCGAAACAGGGCTTCAAGTTTAGCATGCTTTGGCTCTCAACAAACCCTTGGCCCGAAACAGGGCTTCAAGTTTAGCATGCTTTGGCTCTCAACAGGAGGAAGCTCCACCCTTTATTCTTGAGCATGCGCTCTCCTCCATTAGTTGAAAAGGTCGAGGGGATAGTTAGGATTTGTTTCCCGGACCTAGAGAGAAAGAAGGTCTCTTCTTGTCGACTGTGAACGGAGCTTTCTTTCTCGTGAACTTGGTTCCTCTAGGGGAGCTCTGTCCTCTCGCGCTGGGAGTGGGAGCCTTTCATGTCAGATGGAATGAAAACTTACCAAGATGTACAGGACTGCGCCACGCACTAAACAGAAGGACTGTCCGTGCTGATTGCTTAAGTCCTGAAGCCAAAGCTTTACTGAGTATACTGCGACACCCGGTGGTACCAGTGGGATGTGTGAAAAGGATACGATAGCTAGTGTACTTCATTTGCCTTACTGAAAGTTAAGGAGTAATCGGGCTCTTCTTCTTTAACCCACAGATTCAGAAGGTTTCCTCTTGGCGCGGGGCGATTGCCTCGTATACTCGGTCCCTCTGTGTGCCAACGCTTCTGCGTCAAGGCACGGGGTCTGTGCCCGATCTACCCGTGTCGCTGTGCCTCGATTTGATGTGTCGTTGAGAATATGAACCCGATACACAGAAACACAGATGTGGGGATGGCAATTATACTCATGTCTACCCGATCGGGCTGGTCAGGCTCCGACTGCGATGGGGCGGGGCGAGCGGCTAGGCTGAGCTCGGGGTTGGGCTCAAAGCTGCCGCGGCTGGGCTGGGTTCTGTTGACCACATTTTCATATACCACTCCCAGCTTCCGAATAAACCCTGTTTAAGCCGGCCACGGGGAGGGGGGCCTGAAGACCGGCAACTGGAAGGCACTGCGCCGTTCTGTGTAGGGCTCAGGGTCGGGCCTCCATTTCCCGTGTTTCCATGCGTGTTCGGAGCTCTTGGTGTGCAAAGGCGCTGTTCATTTGCCCAAAGACGGCTCGAAGGTGTTCGAGTCAAGATGCCGACATGGCCTTAGGAGTTGCTTTAGCTGATAACTGTTCCTTGCAATGCAGTGCTAGGGAACCTGCAAGAACAAGGGCACATGACACTGTCTCGCAAACCTTACAGTCACTTGAAATCCGAGAGCCTGTGGCGGCAAATCCCTCGCTTGAGCACACTGAACCTTGCATATTGCCGGGAGCCTCGCTGCGATGCTCCCGATGCTCCGTGTTCCTTTCTGGTTGGCTTTATTTCTGGCGATGAGTTCCTTCTGTGCAGCCTTCAGCCGGCCTAACTTTCAGCTGGAAGCGGCCAAGTTAGCATCAGCGGCAGAGCGGCATGATGTTGCTCCGAACGACATGCCCGCCGCATGGGCGGAGCAACAGTGGCCGGAGTGGAAACGCTCCCATCGACGCATTTGCTCGCTTTTTCGTGGGCTCTGCCCGGACTCCACCGCCACCGCCTTCAAGGTCACAGCCATGGCCACTTTTGACATGTTGGAAAACATGCTTGGCATCGGCTCCGGCTGGTTTGTGCTGGTCGTCCTCCCCTGCGCAGCCTGCGGCCTTTTCCTTCTCCCAAGGAGGGATGAGGCTCCCCAAGAGAGAGTGGGGCCTTGCAGGCAGAGAAAAGCTTCCTGCATCGATTGGTGGAGCTGCGGCCCGCAGATCACTCCCGCATCACTGAAAGTCTTCCTTACGGTGCTCTTGCTGATAGAACTCTTGGGCTTGCAGGCGCCGCAGTCGGATGTCTTCACCTTGCCTGAGATGATCCGACGTGTGCGGGCGCACCCCTACGGAAGGACGCCGGAGCTGGGCTTACGTTGGGGCTTCGCTTGTGGCGATGATGGGGATGCAGGCCTGATGCCCCGGCTGACATACGTCTTCATGCCAAACCTAAACGATGCCACAGCAGACAGCTACGCCTGGGTGTTCTCGATCCTGCGGACATCTCTGCTGGTGTCGTGGTGCACTTTCCTTGTGCTCCCATGCGCTTGGGCGCCCTCTTGGGCCTGCTTTGTTTGGGGAGTCGTGGTATACGTAGTCATGGCGAGTGTGGGAACTATGTATCAGCCATATTGTGTTTCTGTTTGCACCTGTTTCTTCCTGGTGGCGGCAGCCTGCATCTTGCCTTCCTTGAAGAAGAGCCCCAGGGCGCGGGCCTGGCTTGGCATGTTTCTGATAGTCAGCACACTCGCTCCATTCTATGGGAAGGGGCGTCACTTGTGTCTTTTTATTTGGGTTCACTTGTGTCTTTTTGGGGGGGTCACTTGTGTCTTTTATTTGCTTCGGAAGCAACAGTCTGGAACGAGAGGTGCCTTGGTAGGACTTGACCCCGAACGAAACCCTGATGAAACAAGGCCCTACCCCTAAGGGGGGTAAACCCAGAACGAAACCCTAATGAAAGAAGGCCCAACCCCTAAGAGGAGGAAGCCCAGAACGATACCCTAAAGAGAGTAAACCCAGAACGAAACCCTAATGAAAGAAGGCCTAACCCCTAAGAGGAGTAGACCCAGAACGAAATCCTAATGAAAGAAGGCCCAACCCCTAAGAGCAGTAAACCCAGAACGAAACCCTAAAGAGAGCAAACCCAGAACGAAACCCTAATGAAAGAAGGCCCAAGCCCTAAGAGGAGCAAACCCAGAACGAAACCCTAAAAGGAGTAAACCGTATATGTTAGTTTCATGTGTTTATGTGTACGTATATGTTTACACATAGGTATACGTATATGCGTACAATGTGTAATCTACAATAAATATCTACACATGTTTAGACACCCCCTCGTAGAGTACGCATGCATGTCTATGTGCATGTGGACGCAGAAAGGGAGCAAGCTCGTTGCCTTTGCACTTTATGTATACCGAGCCTGAAACTGAGCGGGGTGAGGTCCTTCCAAGGCACCTCTCGTTCGAGACCTGTTGCTTCCGAAGAAGGAAAAAGACAGAAGCGACCCCGAAAACAAAGACACAAGCGACCCCCAAAACAAAGACACAAGTGAACCCCCAAAAAAAAAGACAGAAGTGATCGGGCACCCCCATTCTATTTGTCTTCGGGGCTCTCAAAGCTCCGTTACGCAGGCTGGGGCCCCGTGCTCTCTGGCAGCTGGTTGACGCAAGTCTTGCAAAGCGCTTCAGACAGATCTGCAGTTCCGGGCTTCGTCGCATGGATCGTGAAGACTCCTGTGGTTGCAGCGGTCATGTCTTTCGGCGTGCTCTTGGTGGAGTTCTTGCTTCCTCTCGCGGTGCTCTTTCTGGCAAGTTCGAGCTCTGACTTGGCCTGCTGGCTACGGACTTGCTGGATCCTTTTGGCGACCTTCTTTCACATCACCACCATCGTGATCGTTGGTCCAAATTTTGCACGACAACTTCCGTTGTTGATGATGCTTTTGCACGGCGTCTGGCATCCGATTAGAAGCACTGATGCAGAAGCCATTGAGCCTGAGCAAATGAGTTCTTGGGCACGGAGGGTGAGCTTTGCAACTGCGCTGCTGGTCCTATGGATGTGCAATGAGCTGTGGTCAGACTTCGACCATATTTTCGGCGCAACACCTCGTGCTTCTCATCACGACATGCAATGGCCGCTGCCGGAAATGTCCATGTTTACTTGGACTTCCACATCGACCAACTATGTCCGCTCTCTGTGCCTTGAGATTGCAATTGCGGTGGCGCTCTCCAGCAAGGTCTTTTCCGAAATCATATGGCCAGCCTCAGCTGTCAAGGGCGAGCAGGCAGATTCGTGCCCGCCCCAAAAATTGCAGGGGGAGGGCTTTGCAGGGCTTTGAAAGCGTCCCTGGTTACTGTTACGAGACTGTCGTCATTCGTTCCGAGCATTCCCTGAAGTTGCTGTCACGGTTGGTTGCAGATGATATGAGTAGTAACATCTCGAGACGTTGCTTCTGCTCAGTGGCATAATAATCATCGAGGTTATCGCTCCAGCAGCTGGACACAGGTGGGACATCGAATAGGGTGTTGAAGCTTTGTTTGAGTTGCTTCTTGGCTTAGAATCGAACTTGATGAACACTGGATTTGCTGCCTCCCTGCCCACAGTACCAGCATCGTATCGGGAGCTTTCAGCATGTTTCACCCCTTCTCTAGTGGACGTAGCCGCAGTCACGGCGTAGCCAAGAGATACGTTTGGTCGTGTTTTGGAGCAGATCTCTGGGCCTTAGGCCAAGACGCCACGATGAGCTTGCTTCTGCTGCCGCATTCCAGCCTGCATTCTACTCGGCTCAGGTCCGAGGTGAAACCCCTCACCGAGACTGTCCGTGTTTCTAGACACTGCATATGAAAATGAACCCATCGAAGCCATGGTCACTTCGGAATGCTTGCATCTGGTTTCTGGCAGCGGGCATCGAGCCGTGCATATCCTTCAGCCGCCCGAGCTTTTCCCTGAAAGCCAAACTCGCAGGCAGAGGTTGTTCCAAATGCAAGCATCAGGTTCGTACAGAGGGTCTTTTTGTATTCAATTCGAAAATTGCGGGATATAATCAATCGCGAGCTAGTAAATGACGCGCAGGTGAATCGTTTCAGGAGCCCGGGAATTGGGCGCCAGCACTGGTGCACCCAGAGTGGGCGGAGTGGAAAGCCTCTCACCCGAGATTCTGCTCCATGTTCCCTCGTTTGTGTGCTGATGATGGTCTCGAGGTTCAAGTCATAGTCATGGCAGCGCAAGACATGCGCGAGCGAATGCTTGGCATTGGCTCCTGCTGGTTCGTGCCACTGGTCCTTCTCTGCACCGCCTTCGGGGTATGGCGGCCTGGGTTGCCTCCAGTAAGCAGCTCGGCCTTCCGCCTCGACAAGCTGACTGCCTGGTGGCATCGCGGCCCACAGCTTTCAGCGATTTCCTTGAAAGTCTACGTGTGCACGTTGCTCCTGATTGAGCTGCTTGGTGCATCATCCCCGCTGGTCTCAGTTCTCTCCCTGCCAGAAATTCTGCGAAGAGTGCGAAGACACCCGTACGGGCCCGGAGAAGCTTCGCTGCCTTTGCATGCTGTTGTAATATGTGTCCCGTCATGTTAAGATTTCCACGTAAAACAACACAGCGAAGCACCAAGGACGGGGTGGGGCTATTTGCGGTTCATGGACTGGCAGACACCCCCCATCTAATGCCACGACTCACCTATTTGTTCATGCCAGATTTGAACGACAGCACGGTTGACAGCTATGCCTCTTTTCATGCCATGCTTCGAGCCACGCTGTTGATTGCCTGGTGCATCTTCCTGGTCGCACCGCGCGCCTGGAGAACGACCTCTGCGACAAGCTATACCTGGGGAGCGGCGATGTATTTCTATTTCGGCAGTCTGAGCATGATGTTTGCTCCGACGACCAGCGTGTGCTCCTCATACTTCTTTGTGCTAGGGGCTGGCTTTGTGGTGACACATGCTGAGAGCACTGATGCCCAAGCCTGGTTGTGGAAGTTTCTGGTCATGAGCATTCTGGCGCCATACTATCTTGCAGCAGGCTTTGCCAAGCTGCGGTACGCTGGTTGGATGTCAACTCTCACTGGAAGCTGGATCCGGGAGGACTTTTTAGATTTCCTTTCGATATTTCCTGGCTTCAATGCTTGGGCGGCACACGCCCCCTTGGTGGCCGCCCTCTTTTCGTGCGGATGCATGCTCGTCGAGTTCGTGGGGCCTTTGCTGGTCCTTTCGATTGATGTTGGAAAGCCATGTTCCAAGGTGGCGCGGTGGACGCTTACGATATGGAGTTCGCTTGTCCTGGGTTTTCTCCTGGGAGCCTATGTATTTTTTGGCCCAAACTTTGTTCGGCAAGTGCCCTTGACAATCATGCTTCTACATGGGCTCTGGTGCTCAGATGCCGAGAGCCCGCGTCCGGAAGCTCAAGAAGCCCCACCCTTGGTATATCACTGTAGGGCCATCTTGGCGATGCTGCTTTTGAGCTCGTGGTTTGCCGTTGAAATCTGGTCAGACCTAGCACATCTGACCGGCGCCACGCCACAACTATCAAAGCATGATCCAGCGTGGCCAATCGGCGAGTTCGGCATGTTCGTTCATCCTTCGGAGGCATCGAACTACGCGCGGTCGTTGTCTCTCGAGACTGTGGTGTATTTTGGCCTTTGCGTGAAGAAGTCGCAGGACATTTGGTCCGTTGCAAAGAGCGGCGAGATTTAGTCAGCAAAAGGTCGGTGGCAAGCCGTTGGGCCTTATCTTGTCACTTGTCCCATCTTGCATGCCGTTCTGTCCCTAGGCCTTACACGTAGGCTGCAAGCTCCGGACGCCTCCCCTGCTCGGCCCACAGCAAGTCAGGAGCCCAAGACCAGCTGAGTTAGCATTGAGCGTCAGATTGAGTGACTTCCGCACAAGCACACTATGATACCAAGCCCCGGTTTCTGTGTGTTTTAAGCCCCTCACTGTATTTGTGCTCCGGCCTTCTCACGCAAGCATTAAAACCCTGAAAGCTGCTACAGATCCCACCTCAACCCAAGTGAACCCTGAGAACGTCTTTACCAGAAACGGATTGCAATTGCCAGCGATGTCGCGCCCTAGCATCCGTCCCTTGGCCCTATTCGCCATTCTGATGCTTTCTCAAAATCATGTCGGCATTGGCGGTGAACCACAGTGTGGTGCTCTTCTGGGTTGGTAGTACATCGGTTCTTGCTGTGATCTTTGCCGTGATTTCTATCGTAGTGGCCGTATCCCTCTTCAGAAAGCAGGGATGCACAAGGCGGGATTGAAAGCGAGTTTCAACAAAAGCTCGCTTCCCAGCATAACGGCATGTTCTTGAGGCTTGATACATTCTATGAGTACATCCCCATGCGATGCCTGTCAGGGACAACTACCTGATTCCTAAAGAGCTTCACTCAGTCTTCCTGGTTTCTGATGTTTCCTAAACCGTTGAACCCTGAACCGTGCATACTCCCTCTCTCTCTCTCGGCTGAGAGCTGCCAGGCGTGCCTGACAGATTCAGCTTCCAAGACTTTTCGCTGATTTGGACCACCTGCTCCAACAAGCTCCTTGTCTGCCTTTATCCAGTTCACACATTTCGGTGCCAGTCGGCGTTGTTCATTACCTGGTACTACAATTAGTCGGCGGCTACCAGAAGCTTCACTTCGAGAAGCACAGTAGAGGGTGTCGCGATCTTGTCGTGATCCATTCTGGACGCCCGAGACTTGTGCATTTGCTCTTCTTTCGCTAAATAGCATGAATCTCCCTTTTTAATTGATATGCCAAAAAGCTATGGGCAGACATCATTGAGCCCAAGCGCACCCTAAAGCGTCGAAGCTGGCGTGTGTATGATTCCTGCAGCAAAGCTCAGAAAGGCTAGGCGGATAGAATCATGCAAGCTTGCCGTAGTGGAAGCCCGAGTAGCTCGCAGTGCATATTGAGATAGCTTCTTGAGTTGCTGTCTGCTCAATTTCGCCCCCCGTTATGTCATAAGTGTCATCATCTTTAGACTCTGCCCTAGGTCATCCCACAAGCCACATACGCACACTTTCCACACTCGGCTCGGGACTAAGGCTAGGGATGCATTCTTGGGCTGCGCCTCGGATTGCTTCAAAAGACGCGCCTCAGCCAAGCTTCCTGCTGGGAGGGTACGAAGGCCTTCGATATCAACCCCTTCCTTTAAGGGTTCGTCACGCGTGGCCGGTGCTCAGCCCATTCTGCACGGGTTGGAGCGAGGCTGGGCCACGTTAGGCAGTAACGGACCAATTCGGGGTCTAGTGCTTTGAAGACATCTTAAATGCACCGGAGCTTCCGTCACACAGGAAAGATCATCCTTCCCTAGAGGTGCGACGAATCGAATGCCACAGAGGACTGTGGCCAAAGCATCTCGAATTCCATCGCCGACGTTCTCGTCGTTTCTGCTTCATTGGACGTGTTTCAAAATGCCCTCCGTCAGCTGTAGCTGCCACTTCCAGTTATGCTTGTTTCTGTGGGCGGAGCACCCAACTTGCCTACGGGATTAGAGACACGGATGTGAGCAGACCAAGCGGGTCATTGAAGCTGCTAGGCCAGTCTGGGCGCCAGCATCTAGACTTTGATCGGAGGGACGTCCGAGTCCTTCTCACTTCCGGAGCGCCCTTCAGATCAAGAAGGCCTTTCAGGCGCGGCAGGTGGCGGCAGGGCCAGCTGAAGCGCAATGCTCATTATATGATCTTGCTCCGAAGATGCCTCCGAATCCCATGTTCAGGCTTCCGCTCATGTCATGCTTGACTGCAAAGACCTCCACATGATTTGTACAGCCAGCGTGGCTTCAAACCTCATGCTGGGGAACTTTCGACCGATCAATAGGAACCTGAAGGTGTTAGTGTTCCTGAAACGGCGTGCAGCAGAGAAACCTTAAGAATCCGGTAGCCGTGACTTGCTCCCTGGTCGGCCGATCTTCGGTAAGGCTTGTCCTACAGCCCATGGTACGACATGCTCGGTCGTCATAAGCCTCCGCCGGATCCAGACACGGTTTCGTGCGGCCTAGAGTTGGCCACCGGCATGTTGCCCAGCCAGGAAACGGCATGCACGGGTTTCTTGGGTCTCGCGTCCTTAGCTTCCACGTACCAAATACGAGCTGCTAACAGTCGGTTTTCGCAGAACACGCTGGCCGTGTGCACGTGCTCCAGCCGGCGGCTGTTTGTTTCCTAGCTGTCCAGAACCTCAAAATGCATAGAGTGGGCTGAGACCTCGACAGCTGATGAGCTGTGCGCATCCGACATCTCGAGCCTGCTACTCTATGAGGGTTAAAGTCCGAGGTAGCGTGTCTGACCTGAATTCGGATGCACCGGCTCTGTCACGTGGAGATGCCGCGGATGCGTGCTGCATGCCACCGCATGATTCCTTTCACAGGAACAGGATCGAGTCATTTTTCACGTTTGGATGGCCCTCTAGGCTACACGCCTGAGCGGACTTTGCATCTCACGCCAGGACGGAGGCGACTATAACAGCATTCCCCAACAGAATCGTTCCTAGTGCTCTTTGCCTTTCTGCGAACATGCCACACTTAGAATTCAGGGCAGTGGTGAAGCGGTTTGGCGCTCCCAAGCCAAGTGATTTGCAACGTCATTCGGCAGTGCCGGCCCTCTCTGCAGATGAGACCTTTCTGTCACTTGGCCTTAGAGACTTCGACTTGCCAAGTCGCTAAGACGCTCCCTTGTGGCTGAGGCCCTGTGAGGAGGCTTGTCGTCGCCGGGAGAACGTGCAGGGGGCCTCAACTCAAGCGCGCAGCTCCCCTGCCTCCCTTCCGGGGTCGCTTTCTGAGGGATCCTTGAAGCACAGGGTCAACTGCGGTTTGGAACGTTTCGGGCCGCTGCGCCACTGGAGCCTGTTGTAGTCATTCTGTGCGCCATCGGTGAGTATTGCAGGGGCTGTGTATCGAAGCACTCCCCAACCACAGCAGCAGCCTCCAAAGTCCAAAGTTCCTGCTCGGCCGTCCTCGCGTTGACTTCTGACAGCAGGCGTCTGAGGGGCGAAACGCTGGCGGGCTCGCTGATCCAAGATGTTTGGGAAGCGGGTCTGCTCAGCCTTCGCTTCTGAAGCACTTGACGTTGTGAAGCGCAATGATCGAATTCCGCTAGCTTGGGCGCAGCGTCGTTGCAGCTGCCCGTGACAGCAGGCTCAGCGGATGCATTCCAAAGCAGCTTTTCGGGCGGTTTCAGCCTGTAAGCCGCGGCCTGATGCTGTGATGGAGGAGGCAGGCGGACGTCACAGTTGGAGGGCGGGCCCGGGTCGCATGCGAAACTGTCCTGGGGTCTTTCTCCCACCTCTTCTCCTTGCATCATCTTCGTCCCCACGTGGACCTTGCACATATTGGAACCCGGCTCAGTTTCGGAGATGCTGCAGCACCGTCACAGGCCGACGTCGCGAGCTCGTCGTTCGACTCCGTAGTGGAGGGTCTTGCGGCACAACTCGATGCCTAGGAAGATGTTCAGGATCACAAGTAGTTCCGAGTACAGCGCTTGGCTTGAGGCTGCCTGCAATCAGGAGAGAGCGATGCGCAAGAAGACGCGTTGTTGTGCGGTTGGTTCCGATTGGTTCGTCTTTCTCGACACATGCTACACCCCGGAGAAGTTGACTCTTATAGTCGTTCTCAACCGACTGAGACGCACTCGAGGAAGCGTGGCATGATCAAAGCTCATGGGTTGAATTTCCGGGGTCGCTGCAACGGAATCCGTGGAAGGGTTGACTTTCATTGTTTCGGTTAGCTCACATCGCTTAGGGCTAAACACACTGTTGGGGCCTCCACATCTAGTGCTGAGAGTTCCACGGCCCACAGTTGGACCGCTTTTGTGGCTTGGCGAACACGAGCTTTGGCCCAAGGACCAGGTCTTGGAACCTCAGCAGGCTCCATGCAAGCAAGAGTAGCGCCAAGGGCGGGCAACCAGGCAACGCGACACGCGAAGCACCGCATTTGATCAGAATGCCTATCACCCTCAGCATGATCATCATGGTCATCATCTGTACAGCCCTAAACGGCTTCGGCATTCGGCCAGAGAAGAAGTGGGCCGGCGCCGAAACGACTCCCGTCCAAGGACTTGCGCGGCTACCAGCGCTGCTGTGATTTCCAAGTCTTGCGGGGAAAAAGCTATTGTATAGAAGGGTCCAAAGAGGGGCGACGGTGAGCCGAGGGCACTCTCCTAAAGCAGAGGGGTCAGCTATTGTATAGCGGGGTCGAACGCCAGCCGCGCGACTGTGAGCCGCAGGCAGTTTCCTACAGCCCCGCCGCGGCCCAGGCAGCTTCTTTTGATCGTGTGAAGTCTTGAGCCGAAGAGGAGGAGCTTTCTTTGAGCAGCCTGTAAGTTCCTTTTCATGTGAATTTACAGGCCGAGTCAAGGGCAGAATCTTACGCACATCACACGAAGCAGCTCGCGACGGTTTCGATCCGAAAGCTTGAGGATCCGAAATTTGCGGGTCTTCCTCTCAGGCTGGCATCTTTGAGAGGCTGTGAAGTGTTGAGGTCTGCGGGCCACAGTAGAACACTTCCCCCGAAGCTTCTCAGCCTGTTTGCCATTAGCCACAATACCTTCGCGCTGCTTGAGCCAAAAGCCCGCCGGCATCATGAACTGATGAAGCAAGCCCGGCAAGCCTTTTGCTTGATCGAAGTATCTCGGAAATTCTGCATGCGAGAAGGCCCGTGAGAAGGCCAAACGAACACGAACACCCTTCGTGTTTTGGCGAGCCTT